GCTGAAAGGGTTAACCAGTCATTGGAATCGTATTTGCATGTTTTGTTAATAGTACCCAAGATAATTAGTCTGAATTACTACCCTGGGCCGAGTTTGCTAGAAACAATGCTACTCATGACTCTTCTGGTCATAGTCCTTTCCTTGTTAATAACAGTCGTCATCCTACTGTGCTGCCGGCTGTATTCTCTGACACAGCTATCCCTGGTTTGGATAATCACCTTGCTTCTATTCGTGATACATGGACCAAAGTTCATTCCGCTCTCAAAACTGCGGCTGATCGCTTTAAATTTAATGCTGATAAACGGCAGGGTGCAAACCCTGTTTACCAGGTGGGTGAGAGGGTGTGGTCATCATCACGCAACATCAAATTTAAAGTTCCTAGCATGAAGTTTGCTCCCAGATTCCTTGGCCCGTTTCGTATCCTTCGTAGCATTAATCCTGTTTCGTATTCCCTGGCTCTCCCTACCTCCTTGCAGATTCCTAATACATTTCATGTTTCTTTGCTCAAACCGCTTGTTTGCAATAGATACAGTGCCTTGCAAAAGTAAAAATAAGCCGTACGCTCCATAGAGTTGGGCTTTATGGCAGAGTGGCAAGAAGAAAGCCATTACTTTCAGCAAAAAACAAAATGGCACATTTTGAGTTTGCGAAAAGGCATGTGGGAGACTCTCAAAATGTATGGAGGAAGGTGCTCTGGTCTGATGAGACTAAAATTGAACTTTTCGGCCATCAAAGAAAACGCTATGTCTGGTGCAAACCCAACACATTCCATCACTCAAAAAACATCATCCCCACAGCGAAACATGGTGGTGGCAGCATCATGCTGTGGAGATGTTTTTCAGCAGCCGGTACTGGGAAACTGGTCAGAGTTGAGGAAAAGATGGATGGTGCTAAATACAGGGATATTCTTGAGCAAAACCTGTACCACTCTGTGCGTGATTTGAGGCTAGAATGGAGGTTCACCTTCCAGCAGGACAATGACCCCAAACACACTGCTAAAGCGACACTTGAGTGGTTTAAGGGGAAACATGTAAATGTGTTGGAATGGCCTAGTCAAAGCCCAGACCTCAATCCAATCGAAAATATGTGGTGAGACTCATAGGCGTGCGCAGCCTATTGCACCCTAAAGCACAAACACACACCCCGCGTATATATATATATATATATATATATATATATCTACACACACACACACACATTGGGCGCTGTGTGTGTGTAAGGATGCTGTGTGTGTGAGGGTGCAGTGTTGTGTGTAAGGGTGCTGTGAGGGTTAGTGTGTGTGTTTGTGTGAGGGCACTGTGTGAGGGTGTTCTTAGTGTGTGTGTAAGGGTGCTGTGTGTGTGTTTGTGAGGGTGGTGTGTGTGTGTAAGGGTGCTGTGTGTGTGTGAGGGTGCAGTTAATGTGTGTGTGAGGGTGCTATTAGTGTGTGATGTGTGTGTGTATGTGTAAGTGTACTGTTAGTGTGTGTGTAAGGGTGATGTATGTGTGTGGGTGCTGTTAATATGTAAGGGTGCTGTATAAGTGTGCTGTGTGTGTGTATGTGTAAGGGTGCTGTTAGTGTTTAGGTGCTTGTAGCGGAGTAGAGGTATAATCCACGATATCTCCGCTGGTAGTCGTAGTCAGCATACAAATCCAAAGTAGCATAATAATTCCAATCCCATTTCCCAACAACTGGACGACACACAGTTTGGGAGTCAACTGAGCTGTTATTGAACCACAGCCGGTTTTATACAAATCCCCATGCAAGGGCTTTCCTTAGTGACATTACAGGGATTTTCCCCTGGTGGACTATGTGGAAAACTTAGTGTACAATAACATTTCCCATCATCCTTTTCTGTATAGCAGAGATAATTGCGTAAGAGTACACCTTTAATTACATTATCTCTACGTACAGAATCACACAATATTTTTTTAAAATACATACTTCGTAAAATATGTGTCTGAACTCCACAAAAGAGCGCACAATCTGTAGAATTACCGCTCAGATCAGTTCGTTAGAATAGAAAAGCTATTCGAATGAAGTTCTGGACCAGTCAGCCATGAGGCGAGAGCCCCAAAATAGTTCCAGGCAATTGCAGGCTTTGACCGGTCTTCTTTCGGGAGTTCATATGAATTAGCAAACGAAAATACACATTAATATATTGCATAGTTGTGTGTAGGAAGGTCGTTGGTTTCATTTAGCCGAACACCGTTCCATTTGGACGAACGGGCCTATCTGCACGAACGGCATGGAAGTCCAGCGGTGCTCGCGAGGAACTCTTGCGGGGCTAGAGTTCACTCTCGCAAGATCTGAGCATTGCCGCGCCTACGCTCCGACCTCACGAGATGAATCCGGCTGGGCGGCTGGCTAGAGCTCCCTGGGTCCTCTCCTGTCTGTGGGCCGGTGAGGGAGGTCTTTGATCTACCCACTGGCCCATGGAGGCACATAGCGCGAGCCGCTGGGATTAGGGTGTGCCCAGGCACACCCCTGCGCACGCCTATGGTCAGACTTAAAGATTGCTGTTCACAAGCGTAAACCATCCAACTTGAAGGAGCTGGAGCAGTTTTGCAAGGAGAAATGGGCGAAAATCCCAGTGGTAAGATGTGGCAAGCTCATAGAGACTTATCCAAAGCGACTTGGAGCTGTGATTGCTGTAAAAGGTGGCTCTACAAAGTATTGACTTTAGTTATGCACATTGACTTTTTCTGTTATTTTGTAATATTTGTTGTTTGCTTCACAATAAAAAAATAAAAAAAAAATCTTTAAAGTTGTGGGCATGTTCTGTAAATTAAATTATGCAAATCCTCAAACAATCCATGTTATTTCCAGGTTGTGAGGCAACAAAACAAGAAAAATGCCACGGGGGGTGAATACTTTTGCAAGGTGTAACGGACCGTTTTGCACACAAGAGGTTAAAACCATTTAGGCAATATTCCCCAGACAGCTACTGCAATCACCCATCTCCCGAACTGCAAACACATGAATTCACCAATCTCCCGAACTGGAACCAGGGGAATGTTCCAAACTCCCGAACAGGAAACACACGAATGCTGTAAACAGCCGAACAGGAAAAGCATACAATCAGCTTACACTCCTGGCAGTTGCACTTTAACAGCATACAATCCAATTCCCCCCAAGAATGAGACGACACTTCGTTTGAGGATCAAGCAGAACCGATTTACTGGGGCTACCTGCCGGCTTTTATGCAGGTCTCCCACCTGATGGACACTCCCCTATGGGACCGGATGGAAGACTGGGACACAAAGGGTAAAAGGACCAATCACAGACTTACACACTTCAACAATCCCACAATGCATGAGATAATTGGGAAGTAATCCAATTATCTCCAAGGACAGAGGCAAAACTCCATTAACCACATGGCAGTAAAAAGACAGTAAAAGACATAAAATTACATACTGTTACATTCATCACATAGAACATACACATTCTACCTATCCCCAGATAGCTTAGATCCGAGCGCACATTATTACCGGATGGCGCTCAGATCACACACATACAGTTCAATCGCCGTGGAGCCAAAGTCTTTCCCATAGTAATTCGGTATACGAATGGGCTCCATGGCTTAGCTATCTGGGGTAACACTGCTCACATAGGGAGAATAAAAGGTTTTTAATGCAGGGCTATAGTCCAGCGGTAAGAGGTGGGCAACCAGGCTCCTCCAGTGGCCAGTGGCGAGGTTGGTTCCGCTACATTTCTCCCCTTTCCCAATCAGACTAACAGGGTATCTGACCTCCTGTCGGTCAGTGCCCTGGTTAGTCCAGCAACCCACCCACAGAACCCAATCAGCATTACAGCCCACCCACAATAAAGGGTTACTACATTTGGGGAAATGAGTAGCTTGCCTTTGTCCAGGTGCTTCACCACTGCTGTGTGGGGTGCTGCTATTCCGGGTCGGTGGGTTGCTGAGTGGTGCCAGCGCTATAACGGGAGTAGCCTGGTTGGAGCCCCGCTGAGGAGAAGGGGTAGTAGGCTGCCCTCTCTGGATCTGGTGCTGCTGCTGTAGGGGGAGACCGACTGTCTCCCCTTTGGGCAACCAGCCCTGCTGCTGGGGGACAGGACCGACCGTCCCTACCCCCTGTGGTTTGGGCACAGAGACTACGGTCCCATCTGCACCGGTGTGGGGCTTATCATCTCCCCTTGGTGGGCTAGGATGCCGCTGGGGAGAGGGGATAACAAGCTCCTCTCCCTGACACTCTTTCTGCTGGTGGAGAGGGGAAACGACTGTCTCCCCTTTCGATATATTGTCCCGTGGCTGGGAAGCGAGACCGACTGTCTCTGCTCCCGGCAGGACACACTGCTGCTGGGGAGGAAGGTCGACACCTTCGGCTCCCTGTAACACACACTGCCGCTGGGGAGGAAGGATAGCACCTTCGGCTACCTGGGACTCACTGGACTGCTGGGGAGAGGGACGAACTGTCTCCTCTCCTATGGACACACACTGCCGCTGGGGAGGAAGGACGGCACCTTTGTCTCCCTGGGGCTCACTGGACTGCTGGGGAGAGGGACCCACTGTCTCCTCTCCTAAGGACATACACTGCCGCTGGGGAGGAAGGACGGCACCTTTGGCTCCCTGGAATACATACTGCCGCTGGAGAGGAAGGATGGCACCTTCAGCTCCCTGGGATACATACTGCCGCTGGGGATCCTCGCAGGACCAGTCTAGGAGGTCCGCTACCTCGGGTACCGCTGGTTGCTGTTGGGGAAGAGGACCGGTTGTCTATTCCTGGGCCTTATTGATGAGTCACAGCTAATCCCACTCCAGGTCACATTCCTTGGCGACCAGATACCATAGGTCTGGCCCGAGATCAACAGCGCTAGGGAGACCCAGCATGTCATCTTGGTCGTAACAGAGGTCCCAAAAACGAGAGTCGGTAGCTATCCCAAAGTCCTCATCGTCAATATTATCCCAAAATAGGCCAGGGCCAGCATAATCTCCGCCCTCTGGGAACTCATTCTCTGCCATCTCGGGGACACATTGAGCAGCGTACCACTGTATCGCCTAGTATGCGTCGTCGAGCGCCAGTTCTGCATATACTAGAATCTCGAGTCTAGTCACCCTCGCTTCTTCGGGCTGTTTTCTCAGGAGGGGCATCCACTCTGCCATTCGAGCCAGGATTCGCTGCCTTCTGCTGTGGTGTCGATCCCCTCGTGAATACTGTACTTTCTCTAGGGCTTCGTCCCACAACCCGACTCTGGCAATCTCTCTGTACTTCAACATGTCCTCCTCTGACACTGCTCCAGACCTCAGGGATATGTAACAGTACAATCTATCTTGAAACTTTTCCTCCATTTTCTGAGTTCCTTTGTAGATAGGGGCGCTGTACGGATACTAGCATTACCCTCAATTTGTAAATCCAGGGAATGGTGTTACCTTGTAGCTGTCCTTCTGGGCTGTGTGAATGATCCCGCCGCTTGCCACCAATTGTAATGGATTGTTTTGCACACAAGAGGTTAAAACCGTTTAGGCGATATTCCCCTTTTCAGATGCACAGACAGCTACTGCAATCACCAATCTCCCGAACCGCAAACACATGAATTCATCTGGTGGACATTCCCCTAGGGGACAAGATGGAAGACTGGGACACAAAGGGTAAAAGGACCAATCACAGACTTACACACTTCAACAATCCCACAATGCATCACAATCCCTCCTCTCTGTCCTGGAGATAATTGGGAAGAAATCCAATTATCTCCAAGGACAGAGGCAAAACTCCATTAACCACATGGCAGTAAAAAGACAGTAAAAGACATAAAATTACATACTGTTACATTCATCACATAGAACATACACATTCTACCTATCCCCAGATAGCTTAGATCTGAGCGCACATTATTACCGGATGGCGCTCAGATCACATACATACAGTTCATTCGCCATGGAGCCAAAGTCTTTCCCATAGTCTTTTGGTATACGAATGGGCTCCATGGCTTAGCTATCTGGGGTAACACTGCTCACATAGGGAGAATAAAAGGTTTTTAATGCAGGGCCATAGTCCAGCGGCAAGAGGTGGGCAACCAGGCTCTTCCAGTGGCCAGTGGCGAGGTTGGTTCCGCCACACAAGGCACTGTATACTGTCCCATATGTTCCCCCTCTTCTGTTGGTTGTTTCTGGTCAGGAGGAGTATGAGGTCTCCTCCATAATTGATTCCAGATTTTCTCTGGGCACTTTACAGTATTTGGTTGATTGGAGGGGGATGGGCCTGCCGAACATTCTTGGGTTCCGGCCTCTGACATCCATGCTGGCCGCAAGATTTGTTCTTTTCACACCAAGTTTCCTCTCAAGTCTGGTCCTGCCCGCCTAGTGGGCGGTCTTCAAGTGACATATAATATAACATATTTCTCCTCACCTTGCGGTATTTGCGCTCAGTGGCTGTGCATCTGTATCACTGACTCCTGCAACATGTTAATGGCCACTGGCCACTGCGGATCCATGCCAAATTATAGTCCCACGTCCGCCCAAATTGATGACAACGTCAGCGTGCGTGTGACATCACGCCGGAGACACGCGCATACATTCTGGGGTCAAAGGACAATTTTCAGCCAATCAGATTTGTAAAGGGCTTATTTAAACAAAATTCTACTTTTCATCATTGCCCTGTTGTGGTTGTCCGAGAGTGTGTTCCTGAGCGTTTATTTCTGGTTATTGACTTTGGCTTTGTTTGACTTCCCTGTATTCTGGTATCCCTGACTTTTGGCCTTCCCTTATCGTTGCGTCCCATTTTGTGTCCATGAGCTCTGCAAGTATCCTGACTATTCTCTGGTATGTTAAGTCCGGCCATTCTAAGGCCCGGTAAGATGTTACCTTTTAGTCCTACGTGTGCTACAATTCTACGTGCTGGATCAATTAGTACTCCTGACACTGGGCTTAACAGAGGCATTGTGAGCAGCAGCCTGCATATCAGAAGGGTTCTGCATAATGGCACTAGAATAGCAAAAGGGAACAGTCACCACAGTGGGTAGAAAGGAGTTAATCCTGACTGCAGGTGGTAACTAGGGCTAAGCAAGGGAGGAAGCACAGAGCCAGGCACAATAAGGGCAGCACAAACTTTATGGCTAACTTACCAAGTGTTCCCTCAGGAATGGCCTCTGGGGAACACTGGTAAGCTGCCTGACAACCCAGGCAGCCAATCAGTTTACACCTGCCCTTGAACGAGCGTCACAGAACGCGGCATAATTTGCCAATCACAAGATGGCCACTGCAAGGACCGTCTATAATATTAATAGAACCCTGGGCAAAGCATTTTCTTGGGCCCCCTGGATCTTGCCCACCCCCCACCCCCCACACACACACAATCACGCCTTTAACCCCAACACAGTGGAACGATTTAAGACATACTTAGACAGACATATACACTGACAGACATACTGAACATACACACACAGTTAGACATTCTAACACACATATATTCACTGACAGACATACCGACACATAGACACACAATCAGACATTCTAACACACATATATTCACTGACAGACATACTGAGACATTCACAGATACATACTGACACACACAGACATACACTGACACACAAATATATACTGACTGACATATTGCCACACATTCAGACATATTTACACACAGACACATACAGACAAACTGACACACACAGACGTACACTGACAGACATACTGACACACACACAGACAGACATGCTGAAACACACAGACACATACACTGACAGACATACTAACACACACACAGACACTGACAGACAGACATGCTGACACACACAGACACATACACTAAGACATACTGACACACACACAAACATTGACACACACAGACATTGACAGACAGACATACACACACACAGACAGACACTGACAGACATACTGACACACACACAGACACTGACAGACAGACATGCACACACACAGAAAATGTACACTTTTGTACATGTTTCCTACCTTGCCTGGCTCAGCCCCGCTCTGCCTCCTTGCTGTCTCCCACTTGGCTCTCTGTGGGAGGAAGTGACAGCCGCAAGACAGAGAGCCGCGCGCCGCCCAGCCGGCTACAGGAAAGCAAGAGGCCTGGTTGTGCTGTTAAAGGGCCAGAGAGCGCGACCGGGCCCCTGCTTACAAATGCCGGTGGGCCTCCTTATTGTGCTGTGGGCCCAAGCAAGGGGGGGAAATAGTTAAGGGCAGCGGGGCCCACGGGGCCGCTGCCTTGGGCCCCCCAGGAGTAGCTGGGCCTGTTTGCCCCACGTTAAAGATGGCCATGGCCGACGCGATGCACCGAAGCGAACCGCGCATGCATGGGCGGCAATGGATGCAGCTTAGGCCGTGGTCTAGAGGGCAGCCATGGAGACTCGCCCTGAGGTAAAGGTGTGTGTGTGGGGGGGGGAACCTTGAAACCCCCGACGTCGTCCCACGAACGGCTAAGCCAGGTTATAAACAAAGCCGAAGTGGCAAGGGATAAGGGTTAGTCACGGAAGGTGGGGGAAACAAAACCAAGCAAAGGGGGGAGGGGGCTTGTGCAAGAGGGCCCACCCCAAATAGACAACCAAATAAAACACAGAAAATTACAGTAAATTAGGTTATAATATTATAAATAATAATTTAATCTAATATATTTAATAATAATACAATAATAATATAAAATCACAAAGAGCAAGAAGCAAGAAGAATATGAAGTACTTAACTGAGGCAGCAGCAAAGAAAGAGGAGTGGCTTAGGGTTGGCAAAGTTGCACAAGCATGCTGTTTCAGATTCACCCAAGCTCCAACCATGGATTCAAAGCTGACATCTCCTAGCCAATTCCTTAAGTCATCCAGTGTTCACTGCCACATACCTGGGCTGAGGGCTTATAAGGTGCTGCCCTTTGCATTGCTCAAATCCTTGTAGGGCCAGTGTCCGACACCATCGTGTGCACACTTCTTGAGCCTTTTTAAATCCCATTCTTGTCACAGATGGTAGCCAGTTTGGAGGACAATGCTTGCAGGCTCTCATTGTGGCTTAGGGCTGATGGGACTATGGAAATATATATTTCTGCGTCAGCCTATCCTAGCAGGGGAAATGGCTGAGTTATTCAGGGGACTGTGAGTTTATGGTTGATTGATTTTCTTTTCCGTCTGTAAATTATCTATTGGTTTCTTATTTTATTTTGCCCTTTTGCCCAATAATCAGAGATGAATTATGACCAGTTTCCATGATAGAGGTCACCATATTTCTCATCCAGTGGCAATTTGTTTCTATTCACTACCTTTATGAGTTTACGAATGCAGTTATGTGCCTAGTGAATTTTCAGATGCACTATCTATTCACATTCATTAATTTCTAACAAAATGCAGTGATGATTTCTTTGTTATTAAAGGGACACTATAGTCACCAGTGCAACTACATGTATTCCTGACCCTATAGTGTTAACGCCACCATCTAGCCCCCCTGGGCCCCTCATGCCTCCATAAATATAGTAAAAATCTTACTGTATTCAAGCCAGAAGCTGTAAATCTTCATGCTGTTAGACACAGGAAGAACAAGCAGTCTGCTGACATGTGATAGCCTGATCCAATCACAGTGCTTCCCCATAGGATTGGCTGAGACTGACAAAGAGGCAGATCAGGATCAGAGCCAGCATGATTCAAACACAGCCCTGGCCAATCAGCATCTCCTCATAGAGATGAATTGAATCAAGGAATATCTATGAGGAAAGTTCAGTGTCTGCATGCAGTGGGAGGAGATACTGAATCACAGGATGCTCGTGCACAGCAGATCTGAGTGGATGGAGGCATATTATGCCTCCATCAACTCAGAAGTCCCTCTGGTTCACTCTGACTGACTGCAACTGTTCCTAGCTTTCAATGTAAACACTGTATTTTCTCAGAAAAATAAATGAGAAAGGCTGCAGGGAGCTATAGTTCTCACCTGAACAACCTCATTAAGTTGTTCAGGAGACTTTAGTGTCCCTTTAAGCTAGAATAGCAGATTGTATAAGACCTACTGTCTAGTAACTTAAATTATTATGTACATGTCTTGTACATACCTATTCCTGTTTTCATGTGTTACCATCTTAGCAGGTATTACATCTGATCTGATTCATGGGAATTGGTGTACTTGACTTACTCATATCACTGTTGAGCCTGTTGTTGGTATCTGGACAACAAAAATAAAACAAATACATTCATAAAAATAAAGAAATAAAAAAAATCACTTTGAATGCTTACTTTGGTGACTAGCCTTGTTTAGTGAATAATCCTGTAAATGGATATCAGAGGAAAGCCAATTTCTTAAAGATTAAAGGAATACTTCAGCATTAGGAATACAAACCTTTATTCCTAATGCTATAGTGCCATAGTTCATAGTTAGTTTAGTGGGCACCCTGTTTGCAGTAAAAATATATTTAGAAAAAAAATGTTCATCTTTTTCCAGTGTTGTGACTCCCTGTGTACTGCTGGCCTCTTTGCCTCCCTCAATGTCATTGAGGAGGCATGGCTTCCTTGTTGCTGGTCAAATCCAATGCTCCTCATAAAGCAGGGCTCGACAAATCCCAGGCGCCAGGTCGCCATGTTGACTAGGAATTTTGTCCCGGCACCTGGAATTTTTTTGACAGTACTTTCTGAGGCAGGTTGGCCAGCTGTATGAAATGGAGGAGACTGGCCGAGGAATGCAGGTGGCAAGAGAGCTGTAATCTTCTTGCTCTGCTTCCTCGCATGCCCTGCAGTGATTAAAATGTAGGGGTTCTGATAACTAAAGTGTCACGTTGGGAATTGTATTCTTTGTTGTTGAAAAAAGCTTTGTTAGTTAAAAAAATAAAATAATCTGGCTCCTTTTTTTAGGTGGCTCCTAGACTCCCAACAAATATGTCAAACACTTTCATAGAGGACCATTTGGCACTGATGCGCATGCATTGAATACAATGCTTTCCTATGAGCTGGAACATAACGTGACAAGTTTTACTTTAATGCAGTAGAAGTGCAGCTAGTGGCTGTCTGTGTTTGTATGTAGTTCTGGTATTTCAATGCAGGCTGTGTTTGTAGGCTGCAAAGTGTGCACATATACTGCCACAGACCCACACCAACACACACACAGTGTGCTTTCACTTTGACAAAACCCTGCTTTAGCTGCAGTGATTAATTATCTAGCTTCACAACAAAATGCTCCAAACATGACAGTCCACAATCAGTGTAACTAACAGCTGTAGCCATTTTACACATTGCTGTGTGTTCCCCAGACTCTGCACACCTTTGTGCAATAGTTGCATGCTCTGCAATCACCCTGCTATCTGCCTGACTGATTGCACCTTGATTACAACTCATTGTATGGGCTTTTAAATCATTTCTGTCAGCAGCCAATCACAGCCATCTCCATTCACTACCGCCAGCCAACCAGCGACCGGCTTGCGTTCAATGACGTCATTACTATTTAAAGTGGGGGGTGTTAGTGAAATGGCCGAGGTGGGCGTGCGCGAGCATACCTACACATTAGCCAATAGGGAGCGCGCTTTCTTGCTGCAAGCGCGATCAACGTGCTTGTAAAACGAAAGCTGATTGGTTGCTGGAGGGCTCGCTGAATTGCCGTGCGTAATTTCCGTCGTTAAGTGCGCAGCGATGGCGAGCCGGGGCTGTTGATCGGTGGAGGCCTGGTGCAGCTGTCTCACCTAGTGTACCCAGGGGCATGCGCTGGGACTGAGCCAGCCGGGCCGCCTCACTCACAGGTAAGCTTGGGAGTGACGGTCTGCGGCTGAAACTATCCTACCGACAGGTACGGTGATACCTATACGGTGCATCCCTGTACGGAGCAGAGAGGGCATGGTGGAGGGTGGGTGCATGCTGCTGGGGCATTAGGGATGGGGTAGGAGCATGCTGGCAGGGACAATGAAGAGGGTATTGGCAGGTGATGGTGCAATAAAGAGGGCATGGGGGTTGATTGGGCAGACTTTCTGTTGTTGCTCATACGGTGTGTAAGTATGGAGGCTGCTGTTCAGGGGACAATGCTGTCCTGCAGCAATAAGGAGACTGGACATTTTTCTGCCTTATTGGCAGCAATCTAAGTATGTTCAGCACAGTAAACAGAGGGGCAAGGCTGATCGATTTTCAAAAGTCTCTTCTGGTTTGTTACCGTTGTTTAAGTTGAGTTGCTAAGGATTGTTCAAGTTTTAGGTTAAAAAAAATAGGGAGACTTTTTTATTTTTTTTTCTTCTCTCCAGTCAGCTGTTTATCAAATTTGATGACCTTGGACTAAAATCTTGCGTCTTTATTTTGTGATAATTCAAGAAGTGTAATATGTGAGCAAGAGAACAGGTGTGCAGAGGTAAATCTACCCAGAGAATGTTCATGGCATTCCAAGCAGTGAGCATGGAACATTCACTACCTCGGTGTTTAGAGGACTACTAGAGTGCTTAAAGCTAGCTTGGTGTGTGTGTGTGTGTGTGTGTGTGTGTGTGTGTGTGTGTGTGTGTATATATATATATATATATATATATATATATATATATATATATATATATATATATATTCTCTGAATAAACTTTACTTGTCAGCAGTACCATGTTTGAAATGGCAGTATTTTTTGTTCTCTCCATGGTGTCAATTGCATATATCTCTCTATCTTTTGTAGTTAATGCAGGGCATGGTAAAATAAAACAACCTGACTGACCTATAAAACAACTCTCTTCTACAGACTTTATTTTATTGATGATAAATGTTGCAATGTTGTTGGGGTGTAGTTACCTGTATTTGATAAATCCTTTGTAAGCAATGGCATTCGACTTATATTTTGAGTGCCTGCAGATCTCAAATGCTTCTTGGCCTCAAAAGTTTGATTAAAACAGCCATATACACACCTATTTCATCTAAAACATATACATCAGACATTTTTGTTAAAAATAAGAATTTATGTGCACATAGACAGGATTTTTCATAAGTAAAACATCTCTTGCATAAATACCTAAAACATGTACATAAGTTTCTATGCCTAGATAAATCTTATCCTATGCATATGTAAACTACAGGGTCAGTCCAAAAATGATAACCCTCCACAATGCAAAAATTTCCTTGTGCATGTGATGGCTGGGTTTTACAGGCATATATAAGTGAATTTATAGGTCAGTGGTTGTAAAGGCATAAATGTTCTTTTTAAAGGTTGTTCTAAGCACTAAAACAACTTTAGCTTAATCAGTTTGGGTGTAGATATAGATCATGCACATGCAGTCTCATTGCTCAATTCTCTGCCATTTAGGGTTTGCAGCATTTTTTTTTTTTTCTCAGTCAAATGTTGCAGTGCAGTGTGTTTACTCTAGATGCTAATTGAACTTTAATTATGCACAGGAGACTCCTGCAGGCTATGAACAGAGCAGGATACAAAAAAAATTCTAAATGAAGCAGGCTTTTACAAGAAGTTTTAAATAGTAAATCTCTTTACAGGAAATGTGTAGGTCACCTGTAGGGAAGGGGACTAGGACTGCATGAACAAAGTGGTTTTAACCTACTAAGTTGCAGAGAATTGAGAAGTTTGACTACATTGACATGATCTATACAACCAAATCGCTCAAAGCCCCAGTTCTGGCGCCGTGACAACCTTCTCAAAATTATGCTGTGGTTTCGGGAGGTTCCTGGCAGTAGCTTACCTTTTAGGGGCACCATAACTTAGTTTTGACTAAGTTATGTAAGCCAAAATGTTTCTTTAAGCTACAGTTCTGGTGCATAGCTTTTCTTTAATGTGGATGTATTGTAAACACAGTCAATGCTTGGCTATAGAATGGAAACCTTTTAATATAGCGTGTAAACGCATGACCAAAATGTGAGTTCATGTACATTGATTTTACTTTTAATTCCCTAAACACTGAATGGAAAACAAAACTGCAAAGTGTTTGGCATTTATTTTTTTGCCACATAAAAGGAAAATTGCACTGCCGAAATAAAAATCATTAAAACTGTTTGCAAATGCTGCAGTTCTCTTGTCTGCATCCTTTGCAAGTTCTCCCCTTCTTCCCCAACCCAGACTTTCTGTGGCTGTCCAATCAGATTTCCAGTGCAGCTCAATGAAAAGTCTGTGCAAGGCAGGTGCTCTGGACAGTTGCCTATCTTTTGAATTTAGTTCCACTGAGCTAACCAACCAGGAAGTATCGGGTTGTCTGACCTTCAGGGTGTTAACAAAATTAATTTAAAAACGAGTCCATTTCTGTTGGACACTGAAAGTGCTTTCGGCATCTGAAGTGTTCTTTTAAAGGACCACTATAGTGCCAGCATTTCTCATTGCTTTCCTATGGACATCCAGTGTCTTATCACTGTGATTTTTTTCACATGTCCGCAACAAACTGTATGCACAGTCATACATAAGTTTCATGATCCACTACCTGAATGGCCGCCTTTAAAAATAACATTGGTTAGTTCCATATCAATTAGATCAATGTGTTCTGTAGGCACCATGGTCTCTGCGCTCTTTTTTTTTTTTTTTTTCTTCCCTCACCCACAGGCCTCATTTGTATACGTTAGGACAGGGGTTCTCAACGTTGGACCTCAGTAGGGATCGACCGACTGTCGGTTTTGCCGATATAATCGGCCGATATTCGGTATTTTCGGCAATATCGGTATCGGCCAATTCAGATACCGATATTGCCGATAATACCTCCTAGGACCGCCAGGCTCATTACAAGCCCAGCGGTCCTGGGGGGGAGCGGGCATCAAGCGTTTACTCACCTCCCAGCAGCTCCCCAGTGTAACTCTCGCGAGACCCGCGGCCGCCAGAGCGTTGCCATGGATCACCATGGCAACGCTCCGCGCGACACGCTGGCCGCGAGAGTTACACTGGGGAGCTGGAGGAGCTGCTGGGAGGTGAGTAAACGCTTGATGCCCGCTCCCCCCCCCCAGAGCTCAGCCAATGCCACTGGACCACCAGGGACTGTCATATCCCCCCTCCCTGGCCAGGCAACAAGCAGGGAGGGGGGACAAAAAATAATTAAATATATATAAAAAAAAATTATTTTATAAAAAATTCCCCCTCACACACTCCATTATATACACAGACACTACACAAACACACTGTGTATATAATGGAGTGTGTATTTGTATAGTGTGTTTGTATACAATGCACACAAATACACTGCAGTATATACACACTATACAAACACACACACAAACTGCATTATATACACACACTATACAAACACACACAAACTGCATTATATACACACTATACAAACACACAAACTGCATTATATACACACACTATACAAACACACTGTGTATATAATGCAGTGTGTGTTTGTGTAGTGTGTGTATATAATGCAGTGTGTTTGCGTAGTGTGTTTATATAATGCAGTGTGTTTGCGTAGTGTGTGTATATAATGCAGTGTGTTTGCATAGTGTGTGTATATAATGCAGTGTGTTTGCGTAGTGTGTGTATATAATGCAGTGTGTTTGCGTAGTGTGTGTATATAATGCAGTGTGTTTGCGTAGTGTGTGTATATAATGCAGTGTGTTTGCGTAGTGTGTGTATATAATGCAGTGTGTTTGCATAGTGTGTGTGTATATAATGCAGTGTGTTTGCAAAGTGTGTGTGTATATAATGCAGTGTGTTTGCATAGTGTGTGTGTATATAATGCAGTGTGTTTGCATGTGTGTGTATATAATGCAGTGTGTTTTTGTAGTGTGTGTATATAATGCAGTGTGTTTGCATAGTGTGTGTGTATATAATGCAGTGTGTTTGCATAGTGTGTGTGTATATAATGCAGTGTGTTTGCATAGTGTGTGTGTATATAATGCAGTGTGTTTGCATAGTGTGTGTGTATATAATGCAGTGTGTTTGCATAGTGTGTGTATATAATGCAGTGTGTTTGCATAGTGTGTGTATATAATGCAGTGTTTGCATAGTGTGTGTATAATGCAGTGTGTTTGCATAGTGTGTGTGTATAATGCAGTGTGTTTGCATAGTGTGTGTGTATAAAATGCAGTGTGTTTGCATAGTGTGTGTGTATAATGCAGTGTGTTTGCATAGTGTGTGTGTATAATGCAGTGTGTTTGCATAGTGTGTGTGTATAATGCAGTGTGTTTGCATAGTGTGTGTGTATAATGCAGTGTGTTTGCATAGTGTGTGTGTATAATGCAGTGTGTTTGCATAGTGTGTGTGTATAATGCAGTGTGTTTGCATAGTGTGTGTATATAATGCAGTGTGTTTGCATAGTGTGTGTATATAATGCACACTACACAAACACACTGCATTATATACACACACTATACAAACACACACTGCATTATATAAACACACTACATTCACTATACACACACTCTGCATTCATTATATACACACTACCCACACACTACACAAACACTCTGCTTTCATTATATACACACTACACTAATACACACTGCATCCACTACACAAACACACATTGCATCCTCCACACACACTACACAAACACACACTGCATCCACTACACACACACACACACACACAGCTCCCCTGTCACACTGCATCCACTACACGTGGCATGTATATTTTGTGCATTTACCTTTAGAAATAGTTTTTATTTTCCAAAATGGTAAATGTACAGAATATCGGCAAATTATATCGGCTATCGGCCTGAAAGTTCACAGAGTATCGGTATCGGCTCTAAAAAATCAATATCGGTCGATCCCTAGTCCTCAGGACCCCCTACCAGTCCAGGGTTTAGGGATTACCTGGGTGTGTCTAAGGTGTTTAGAAAAAGAAAAAAAAAACACCTTAGAGCCCAAGGTGTTTTTTTTCCCTTTTTCTAAACACCTGAGACACACCCAGGTAATCTCCAAATCCTGGACTGGTAGGGGGTCCTGAGGACTGGGTTGAGAACCCCTGCCTTAGGAAATGGTTATGCATGTTTGCATTCTTGGCTAGCGCTACTCTGGGCAGTTGTTGTTGTTAGATTTATATCAACTTGTAGAATTTCTGTTTTTAGAAATTTGGTCTGGTTTAGTGACTGCAGCCACACAATTTGTAAGAAAATCTGGTTTGCTTTACTGAGATAAGCAGGACAGTGCAAGTGTGCACTCAATTTGCAGAGTGTATCAGCTGAGAGTTCTCAACCAGTGAATGTGGTCAGGCTTAGCTAATTGAAGACTTCTTCCGCTGGATGAAGTGCCGGTGCCTGGGGAACCCAGACAATATCAGTCCCAAACAGTGAGAGAGATTACTGAGACGATGCCAGAGCAAACTTTCTAAAGTTGGTCAGAGTTATGGTGTTTGGGGTGTTCCTTTTTATTTCAGGAGCTGGATGCTGCTGTCACTGATAGTGTCAACAATTTGTATAGTCTAGATCAGGGGTAGAGATGTCGCGAACGGTTCGTGACGAACTCCGGTCAGCTGACACATCCTAGCCAATCTCCAGCAGACCCTCCCTCCTCCTGGACAGCATCCGTGTTGAAGCTGCCTTCAACATGGATGCTGTCCAGGAAGTGTGAGGGTCTGCTGGAGATTGGCCGGGATGTGTCAGCTGACCGGAGTCCGTCGCGAACTGTTCGTGGCGAAAAGTTTGCGGACTGTTCGCGACATCTCTAATCAGGGGTAGGCAACCTTTTAGCAGCACTGCCGATATAGGAGTGTGATGTGCCGATCCTATTTTTTTTAAATTGAGGTGTGCGCGCGCTGCCGTACTCTGCTTATTTTTATTGCAGTTGCTTTGTATCGTTGTATTTGTGCGTATATGAGCTATTATATTGTATATGTTCATTAGTAGTTTATGTGATTGTGTATGATACATATGAATGTGGGTTGTGTATGGGGGCTGCTTGTGGAATTGTGTGTGGATAAGTCACATTGTGTGTTTGGGGTATTGCATGTGGGGTTGTGTGCATGTATGTGGATTGTTAGTGGGTTACGTTTGTGCGGATAGTGTGTATGTCTGTGTGTGGGCTGTTTGTTTTATTTGTATGAGGGGAGGGTTATTCTGCAGGTATGTGTATATCTAGCAGTGTGGGTGGCTTCGCTGGGTTCCAGTGGGGACCACGCCGGCCAGGTACAGCTCAAGGACAGGAAGTGCAACAGCAGCTGCTTTACTACTGTGTGGATTCCCATTCACAAGTGCTGGGAGGAAGTGATCTGAGATCACTTCCTCTACGTGCTGCAATGCATACATTGAGGATTGTCCTTCACCACCTCTTCGTATTAGCAGGTAGCTGAAGTTTTACTGGGACTCCTGATAGGCCAGAGCCTGTTTGGCTCTAGCAGCCTTGAGTGCTGTACAAAGACACCTCGAGTGCCGTGCATGGCACTAGTGCCGTAGGTTGCCTACCCCTGATCTAGATGTTCAGTAGAAAATGTAATCTAGGATTGTTTAATTAAATGATCTGAAAACTTTCACAAAGTTGGCAAAGCTAAATCATATTAGAGGTTCTGCTCCAGCTGTGTAGAGGAGATGAACAGTGTGGGTGACTGGGGAGACCCATATTGGTGTCACACTGTTTGAAAATGATTCCTGTCACTACTTGCTGTAGTGGTTATGCTGTCAAGTGACAATTGTCCTCCCTATGTGCACAGTTATTTAATTTTTTTTGGTATTACTTATTCCATTTAACAAAACACATGTGTAAGGTGTCTTCCTACCAGCGACATGATCTGACTTTTTTTTTTTTTTTTGGCCAGGCAATCTACTGTTGCATGTGCTTTTTAAGAAATTTTTCTAATACTATTCTTCATAAAATGCACCACTTGCTAGAATGGGGTATATTAAGGCAATATTTTAATCAAATATATCAATGTAAGCTTACTTGCACTTCCATGGCACATAGTGACTGTTCTTCAAATGATGGGGTGGTCTTTTATGTCAATCTTGTCCTATCTAGGGAATATGTATCTTGAAATTTTTAGTTTCCCCTTGCTTATATAAACACGCATGATCTGTTTCGGTTTCACTGCCTGTGGGTGTTTTTCTGGATCTATCACCTTCCTGTGCAGGAGGCACCCAGAAGCATATTTAGAAGTCACATTGCATTATTTGCTGTTCCTTAAACCTTCATTGTTTGATCTTTAAAGTGCATTAATGCATACATATTGCTGTATTAAAACTGTGACAAAAAACTTATTAAAGCTGTAGCAATTTAATGGCAAAAAGAAGCAGGCTGGGCATATATATCAATCTAGTTTCACCTTCCATTCAGTTAATTTTAATAGTAGATTGCTTGTCACACCATATACAGATGTAACTATTGAAGCTGTACTGTTCATTACTTGGCTGAGTAGAGGACTGGACATAGTTTTCTATGGGGATTACTTTTTTTTTTTTTTTTTCTGTCCGTGGCGGGAGAGTTCAGTAGCTAGGTGCATTGTTGGTGTAGTACTCTCCTAGGAAGTTTGTCTTTTATGGGGCAGGTGAGCTTGCACTTTATTAGCTACTGGATTAGTATTTAAAAGTGAACAGGTAACTTATTTTTGCTCTAGTTTACAACCTGGTTATGTAGTTGAAAGTAACCTATTGATGGCTTTTTATTTTTTTGAAACTTATTTTTTTTTATCTTCTTACATTTTCTGCATGACACGATTTCCCATATCTTCATTTTGAAACCAGTCCTTCCCTTTTTATTCATGTCGTAACTTCTTGTTTGCTAAACTATAGAATTGGCATGAAATTAAGTTTCCCTTGGCTTCTGTATTTACAAAGCGTGGCTATGAATACATATGCACGGTGTACAATTTCATGGCCATATATGTAGGCACACAGTCAAAATTGGTTTAAAAAGCATTCTAGATTCCTCTCCTACCCCTTGGATATGTTAGACTTCAAATCATTATTCTTCAAGCCAATAGAATTGGGAGGCAGAGTTAATGCACTGCAATCTACATGCTTTGAATGAAATGCTTCTCGTAGAGATGAGTGAAATCCAGTGGATACTCTGAGACTGTTTTGTGCCCAAACATGCATAGCTGGTACGGTGCTCTTCATTCTTTTAACGGCTGGAACAATGCACCTTGTTGATCTTTTGGCAGTTTTATAAACCGAAAGAGGTGACACTGTTAACTCTTTGAACTTCTAAAGCCTTCCAAGTTGCTTTGAGTGTTCCCATAAAAGTGACCATAGCTACTACTGTTTGCTATAGTTGTCGAGTGCTATGTGGCCCACTGTTCAGCCGATGTGATCAGTGGAACTAAAGAAAGCTCCATGCTTTAGTGATGATACAGCAGTAGAAGTGTCCATTAGTGTCATTACACTGCTGACACTAGCTATCCTTCTGCTTTGGCAACCTTGGCTGCAAAATTATTTTATTTATCTAACTTTTTTTTTAAAATGATATATCGATTTTTCTCCCCCCCCCTTGCTTGGTTGAGTAACTAAAATTCTTATAACGATGCTTCATTCCTGTGACGTTGCCTCCTACAGCCTTTAACTTACCAAACACAAGATAGCCTCTTCACTGGTTACATGTGTAAACAAATACTGTGACTCATTTCATATTAAGCTTTCACTTGAAGCTTCCAGGGCAGAATGTGCTGTATCAACTGGTAAGCTGTTTGCACAGTATGGAGATTTTTTTTTTTTTTTAAACTGATGATCTTGTGTAGTTTAACCCCTTAATGACACGACATGTGTGGCATGTCATGATTCCCTTTTATTCCAGAAGTTTGGTCCTTAAGGGGTTAAGGCAGATGTCTTAAAGGACCACTATAGTGCCCTGAGGGTGCACTATAGGATGCTATTTTTATAAAAAAAAAAAGGGTTAACACTAGCTGGAGCAGGCACCGAGACCACTTCATTAAGCTGAAGTGGTCTGGGTGCTTATAGTGGTCCTTTAATCACTGTGAAACTTTGCTAAAGCCTCTGGGAAATCAAACTATTTTTTTTAAACTACAGTATAGTTACAGCCTTGACATTGTGCTGGGATATTTGCTTATAGATTGTACTGTTTTTCTATTTACATACTATGTGCATTGTATTAACTATAGTTTTCCAAGTCAAAGGAAGCTCCTTTAGTGGCTGTCTAGTACCCAGCCACTTGTGACTGCAACGTAAACATTGTAGACTAAGGGGACAGGAACACTGCACCCAGACTACTCCAACGAGCTGAAGTAGTCGGGGTGCCTATAGTATCACTCTTGCCATGCATATGTCTACTGGATGAAGCATAATTAACTGTAATAAGCATACCTTATCTCTTTACTCTTGATTCCTCCCATTCTTCATGAATTGCCATAATTAGCAGGGGAACGAGACCCACTTTAAACTGCTTTGTCATTAATAACATGGTTATGACTGAACATGAAGTTCCACATCCTCATATTTATGGTGTATTGAAAGAGTTAAAAAAAATAATTTTTCTGACAAAATATCAATTGCAAAGATTGGAGGCCCTTGCCTTGAGCTGAGGACATTGACAGCTATTTGCTTAACTCCTCTTCACAAATATTATCTGAAGGGGGGGTGGCAAAAATAGCTGAGCAGGAAATACTCTAGCTTTGCTATACTGTAGTCAGAACATGGGTATTTTTTATTTAATTTTGCCTCTTGGATTTATTTAGCAAAAATTCCAAGTTTGTGTGGTGTCTCACTTTGTCGTAGTGTTTGTTGTTGCTGCCCCACATGTACACATTCCATGCTCCCACATACTACAGAGTTGCATTGCAGCCTTCTTGGTCCTGCAGTCAGTTTACAGTAGGGATTGTCAGATATTGATTTACTTATTTTTTTTTTTTAGAGCCCATACCGATAATCAGAACTTTCAGGCCGATAACTTGTCGATATTCTGTACACTTACATTAAAAAAAATTAAAAAAAAATTCTAAAATGCACAAAATATACATACCACATGTGCATACAGTGTGTTTAGAAAGGTGGAGCTGTTTGTTTGGTGGGGTGGGTGTGTATAGTAAATTAACGGATGGCAGGGGGGCGCTTTTTTTTTTTTTAACTCTAATTTTAACTTTTTTTCTCTCCTCCCTCACTTGTTGCCTGGCTAGGGAGAGGGGGATATGACAGTTCCTGGTGGTGCAGTGGGGGTCTGCAGCAAGCTCTTGCTTACCTTCCCAGCAGCTCCCTGTGTAAATCTCGTGGCCTGCGTGCCGTGCGGAGCGTTGCCATGGTAACCCGTGGCAACGCTCTGACAGTCGCAAGATTTACACTGGGAGCTGCTGGTAAGGTAAGTAAGAGCTTGCTGCAGCCCCCTCTGGACCGCCGGGCTTGTTATGACCCGGCGGTCCTGGTATGTATTATTGGCAATATCGGTATCTCTATTTACAGATATTGTTGCAAAAAATGCAGAGTCCTGAATATGACGTTATACTATATCCCGGGAGCCAAAAAGGCCTGTACACCGTGTGGAGCAACTGCTGCTCCTTGCACCTCCTCATGCCTGGCGGTCTTCTGCAGCCCGTAGCTAGGCATCAGGCAAAATAAATTCTATCTGTATGTATTGTGTCCATTGGATTTAAGAATGGTATCTTATCCCCTTTTCTCCCTTGTTTACTGTACATATGAACACCTACTTGATATTCTTATGGTTGCCCTGTTACGGTAGTTGGCATGTGGATGGCAAAACTCACAAAAAACTCATACGAGCAGTGCTCCAAACGTGATGACAAGGGAATCTTATTTCAGGCCAAAATGGCTAGTGTTTTGATCTCTAACCCTTTGACAAGATTGACATGCCCCTGTCCTTCCTGTTTTTAACCACATAATAAAGGATATTTTGAGGTTCATCTGTGTTTAACGCAAAAAAAAGCTTTTAAAGTCTACCTCTGTTTCCCACTTTCTTCTTGGGTGCACCAATACATGAATAATTTAGATATAATCTATATTGCTATAGGTACATGTATGAGGTTACTGGAAATGCTGCTCCTGAACACCAGGCTATGTTTATCTAGATATGAGTGCAGAGCTGCACGTGTATATAAATTTAGGGCTTTCTTTTGATATTCTAGATCAGGGGTTCATAACCCCTCCCAGTCCAGAATTTAGGGATTACCCCTTTATTTTTTTTAAATAAATATTTTTGCCTGACAGTCTTTGGTATGCTGTCAACTGCATTGAATACCTGCACTGCATTACATAGACCAGTGGTAAGCAAACTTCAGCATTCCCATAATGACTTTACAATCATAATGCTGGGGAAACATTGTCAGATCTAGTCCACATCTGGAGTGCTGAGGGTTTCCTATGCCTGGAATAGTCATGTGGACCTTGAGTGGTTTTATATTTTAAGTGGAATGACCAGCAAATACAGATGAAGATATCTTGTTAGCACCTTTATTCTCCAGGGTATCTTCAAAGCACTGTCTGCGCATGTTTGTTTTTGAGCCCAGGAAATAATTTCCCACTAAGGCAGTCTTTATGGAGAAGTCAGGTACAGCTAAGTTTCAGCTCTTCTATAGTGCCTTTTTATCAAGGCTTAACCAAGTCTACCAGAAGACCGAAGTATAGAACTAAACGGGCAACGTCAGGGCTCGTCAAATCCCAGGTCTCCACTGTGACTAGAAATTTTGCCTTGGATTTGCCAGCTCTTTAATGTGGCCGCCGAGGTAGTTTTGAAGCTGTCCGTCCGCGGCAGCATGGAGCTGGCCATGGGGGGCAGTTGGCTTACTGCGGCTCCTCTCTGCTCCCTTGCTCTGTTTAATGATGCTGGAATATGACGTCACTCCGGCATCGTTACAGTGAACAGCAGGGAGAAGATAGGGGCTGATGAGAGAAGCCCCACTGCACCTCAGGGAAAGACCCACTCTGCTCTCCTAAAGGTAGGAAGTCAGTGGGGTTCAATTAATACAAAAATGTGTGTGGGCGCACGTCTAGGTACCTGCCCCTTCCGATCACATGAGGAATGTGTTTTTTACTCCCCTTCTCCCCGTGCCACTTTTGCTGAGGCTGGTACCACCTCAATGGCTGAGATTATCAATCTTTATGATCTCAGCTAAGCCAATGGTAAAGGAAAGCATTGGGAGGATTTTGTGCATGCGTAGCAAATGTGCCAATCCGCATCTCCTCATAGGGATGCATTGAATTAATGAATCTCTGAGGAACATTCAGGCAGAGCTTGGAGATCCTGAATGTTGGTGCAGCAGTGACCCAGGACTCTCTAGTGGCCATCTGAGGCAAGACCTAAGATTACTAGAGGTGACTGAAAAGCCTGCATGGTGTATAGTCACCAGAACAACATAAAGCTGTGATGGTTCTGGTAACTCTAGTGTCCATTTAAGAATGGCATTTTATTTTTTTTCTCGTTGAAAATGACTGGCTTCTAGATTCCAAACAAACTTGTCATGCCCTGGGCTACATAGTTTGCCATTAATGGAACACTAAAGTAGTTGAAAGACATGTTTGTATAGCCAATACTAGTGTTGGCAAATCTATTTTGGATTATTTCCCCCTCAGCCATTTGGAGGCTAGTGTGCAACAAATTGCCAGGGAAGCCCTCCAGACTGAAAGTCCCTAGAGGTAAATGCACAACTGACACTGCAGGGACAATCGCTATGGCTCAGAACCACTACATTACTCTAGTGGTTGTGGTGCATTTAGTGTCCTTGTAATACTTTGCTATATTGATGGCTTTTGTTTCTCAATATGTTAATTGGTGTGAGTTCTTCCTTTCTAACATAAATGTAACTGAATTCCAGACTACTGTCAGTGACCTGAAGGCATTAAGTGTGCATACAGTTGCATCAATATATTATACAACTATGCAAACCGTATATAGAATTGCCAGAATCTTCAACTGTCAAATATTTGTGCAATTTAGAAAACCAATGTTTGCATACAGATTTTTTTTTTTTTTAAAGCAAAATTTAGCAGCTCTAAAAAGGGAGGGAAATGTAAAGACACACTCACTCTAAAAGACTAGGCAAGCTAAAGGAACAATCCAAGCACATAATGTGCTTCAAATTTTCTGCACATATCCTATGGATTTTAGGATCGCTAACATTTAATTTATAGTGTTCATCCTGAAGTAATGTTGGTGACTCTTTAAAAATGTTCTGTAATTTTTTTATTTTTTTTTTCTGCTGTTTAAAGTCCCTTTATATGTTGGCTTTGCTGTCCTGCTTGCATCAAGACAGATTGGAAGTTGGTTTGCATGGAAAGAACGTGTTCCTATGCAACTGTGGAAAAAGTAAAATCTCTTTCTGCTGTAAATGCCCAATAAACTGTAACTTGTGCCTATGTTCACTCTGTGGGAATTAATGGTGGTATGTGCACAACAATGCAATTTCACAGCTATAGTTCCATGCTCCTTTACCCCCCTTGTAAACACTTTGGTTAAAGGTTTACTCCAACTTTTCTATGATGATGGGAAAAAAAAAAAAAAAAACAATTCTAAAGAGCCAATAAATATACATACTAGCATAGTCTGCATGTGCCTTGGGTCCCAACAACTCTTCTCTATGGACCAGCTTGCCCCTGGGTTAAGGTGTGAATTGGGTTTTTCTTTTGTTAATGTTATTAAAGGGACACTATACTCACCAGAACAAATACAATAAACTGTAGCTGTTCTGGTGACTATTGTCTGTTCCTTCAGGCTTTTTGCAGTTGCAGCCTAGACAGGGATACTTCCACTGGCTGCCACTCATATTGGTACTAGAAGTGCTTCCTCTGGAGATGCTGATTGGCCAGGTCTGTGTTTACGCTTGTTTGATCTAACCCCATTTTGCCTCCTTGACATTCAGCCAATCCAATTCTTTCCTATGGGAAAGCATTGTGCTTAACGGAGATCACCACTTCTGATCTCAGCCAAGGAAGCAGATCAGGGATCACAAATTCGCACAAATTATGTGAATTACGGCCTCTGATTTTTAAAATCTCAGAATGCACCCCCCTCTGACAAGGATCTGTTTCTTATTGAGTAAATATTGGGCATTGGAATTTATAGCTGTAATACTGATAAATAGGAAGTTTAATGCACTACCTGTTGTAAATTAAAGGAACACTATAGTCCACCTAAATTACTTTAGCTAAATAATACAGTTTTAGTATATAGATCATTACTCCTGCAATTTCACTGCTCAATTCACTGTCATTTAGGAGTTAAATCACTGTTTCTGTTTATGCAGCCCTAGCCACACCTCCCCTGGCTATGATTGACAGAGCCTGCATGAAAAAAAAACTGGTTTCACTTTCAAACAGATGTAATTTACCTTAAATAATTGTATCTCAATCTCTAACTTGAGCTTTAATCACATACAGGAGGCTCTTTCATGGTCTAGCAAGCTATTAACATAGCAGGGGATAAGAAAATCTTAATTAAACAGAACTTGCAATAAAAGCCTAAATAGGGCTCTCTTTACAGGAAGTGTTTATGGAAGGCTGTGCAAGTCACATGCAGGGAGGTGTGACTAGGGTTCATAAACAAAGGGATGTAACTCCTAAATGGCAGAGGATTGAGCAGTGAGACTGCAGGGGCATGTTCTATACACCAAATCTGCTTCATTAAGCTAGAGTTGTTCAGGTGACTATAGTGTCCCTTTAACAGAAGAATGGAATATTCAGTTATGTTGCCTATTTTCAACCTCGCCTAAAAAAATAAAACATTTTGTGGCTTGTTCCATAAGTGAGTGTTCTGTTTTTTTTGTATAATCAATTTCTTGCAATGACTATATGTCAATAATCTTCAAGTGATGTGCTGCCTATCTACTTATATTTAGAATCGACCATTGCCTTTCAAGTTGAACTAATACACCACAGATTTACTTGTACTACAAGTATTTTACTGATGGGGGGCCTGTTTTTATTTCAGTGGGTAGTATTTATGCAGTCTTCTGTTCTATAGTGGTCATTGTTTACGTGCAGATAGGACTGGCATGTAGAATAATCTTTGGTTATCTCATATTCTTAATGTGTTTTTTCCGCTGATCAGACTTTCCCCACTTTGCATTTGTTAACTTTTTAATTTTTTTTTTTTTAACATTTAATTGTCTTGTACATCATGGCTGTGTTTTGTGTGGGTTTGTTTTGTTTTGCATTACGTGACCTAATCTAGGAAAGCTAGCAAGCTGTTTGCAGTTTAATGCTTACTTTGTGCTGGGATTGGAACCCCTGATCTTAAGTCTTAATGTTTAACCCTTTTGGCAGTGCAGATTGGGGAACCTTAACTAGCATTTTGTTTGTTGTGCATGTTTCCATCCTGCTCTTGATCTGTTAACCTTTTCAATTCCAGGAAAATTAAGTTTACTCTTGTCTTTTTGTTACAAGAGAACTTTTGGATTGCATGTCTTGTGTTTTTGGGGGGGAGGGTTTAGGATTATTATTTTTTTTTTTTTTTTTATTCCTTCCTCTTCAGTGTCTCTTGCATTTTAAGTTCAGGAACAGACTGACATTATTAGGTGGGAAAACTGGATGTGTTAAAGTCAGACTCTGAATAATGGAGCAGTAACATGCCACCTGTTTATCACACTTAAATTTACAGTGTAGAGGATGAAGAGAAGACTATCTGAAAGGGATGCTGGGGAATCATCCAGATCAAAGGCTTTCTGTACTAGTATATCAGGAAGTAATGCCAAGAGGGCTGGACCATTTATTTTGGGTAAGCTGGCTTTTTTTTTTTTTTTTTCTCATTTCACTATCTCTATCTCTAGATTTTATTTATTTTTTTCTCCCCACTAGATAAAATGCTTGTATAGCCCATAGTTCTCAGCTTTCAGTCATTATAATGCCACAGACTGATGTGGCTTTAATATATGTAAATAATGGCTTATAGCACTTTAGTTGTACTCTAGTCTAGACAAACTGATACTACAATGCTACATTTCTCTAGTGAAGACAACTTAGACTTGTATATGGCCTTATTCCATTATGCAACAGTTTCCATTCCTTCTTGGGTAACAGTTGATAAGAGTGTACAGATCTACCAGGTTAGTCAAAATTTCATGCAAACTTATAATGCAGTCACCCCCTGCTACTCTTGGAGTGAGGTGGTATCTCCTGTGTAATTCTCTTCTGTATGAGTTTGCTTACTTAATTTAGCTTGCTTCTGTCTAGATGCACATATTTTATGTGGGTGAATAACTGTTTCATTGTTTGTTTCCTGCCAGGTCCTCGGTTAGGAAACTCTCCTGTACCAAGCATTGTGCAGTGTTTGGCAAGAAAGGATGGAACAGATGACTTCTACCAGTTAAAGGTTAAGATTGTTAGCCTTATGCCTCCTGTAGAAAATCAACCCTGCAAAATGAACATAAAATATGAACATGTGTTGTCATTTTCCATATTCAGTGTCAGGGAATGTTGACTTTTAGCTTTAAAATTCTCATTTTTTTAAACCATTTGTGTTTAATGCTCAATCCAAAGAATAACAATAAGTAACTGAACATACTTGCCCACATTTAAACATTGCATTGATGTTTGCTGAATTGTCTCGCTCAATAGTCACTTCAATGTTTGTGGTTTCTTTTTTTGTTTGTGTGTTTTTTTTTTTTGTTTTTTTAAAGAACCTTAATCAAGCATACAATGTTCTTGTATGTTCATCACAGTGCTTATGTTCATCTACACAGATCCTAAGCTTGGAGGACAGAGGGGACAAAACAGGGGAAACACAAGAAGAAAGACAGGGCAAAATGCTGTTGCATACTGAATATTCACTTTTATCCCTCCTTCATAATCAAGATGGTGTTGTACATCACCATGGTCTGTTCCAGGTAACTCCTCTAGCAAAAAAATTGCTTTTTTTAAAAAAAATTTTTTTACCAAAAAGCCCTTAATGTTGTAAAAGTAAAATGCACGTGTGTGTGTGTGTATCTCTCTAAATCATGTGCAATTTTGGTGTACACTGCATTTGCCAAAATTAACCTTCCAGGGACAATCTTTACTTAAGCTGTTAAGTTTTGCAGCCACCCCCTTCCCATTCTGTTTAAAATGTCAGTTTCACTAGTTTTAAACAGGTTTGTCCCTTAATTGCTTCAGTCTATTGCAGCAATATGCAATTTATTTTTTCCGATTATTGTTTGGCATTGCCTTCTGAAACTTTTTTGTAAACTTTGCAGGACCGAACATGTGAGTTTGTAGAAGATGTCATGGATGCCAACAAGCTAACTAGGAAGACCAGAAAGAGGATATGCCTAGTGTTGGACTGTCTGTGTGCACATGACTTCAGCGACAAAACTGCTGACTTAATAAATTTACAGCATTATGTGATAAAGGAGAAGCGGCTAGGGGAGAGAGAAACCGTTGTTATATTCTATGATGTTGTCCGAGTAGTAGAAGCCTTGCATAAGGTGAGACTACCACCATTTTTTGTGTAATATTTATTTGCACTACTGTAACAACTTGGTTTGGTAGAGATCGACTTAACTGGGCCCACTCCTGTTTTGGGGGTGTGGGTGATTGTATAGTAACCCCAGTAAATGCTTCAGTAACATTTAGTGGATGAGTAAAGAGAGCTATTCAAACCCAAGCATCCTTTGGTTTATTTTTTGAAATGATATTCTAAGCACCAAAACAACTTTACCTATTGAAGCAATTTTGGTGTATAGATTAGTTTTGTTAAAGTTCAGTCAACAGAGCAAGAAATAAAACTTCTGATTACACACCGACAGTTCCTGCAATTAACAGAGCAGGAAATGAGATTCTAAACTGAACAGACTGTGCAATGAACAAAGTTTGAACAGAGCTTTCTGAACAGCAAGTGTGAAAGTCACATGCAGGGGAGGTGTGGCTAGGCTGGTTAAACAATGAATTAAAGGGACACTACACACTTCAGACCATGAAATCACTTTTAGCTTCCTAAAATGCCTTCCCATTTGCCCCCAATTTTACAAAGATTTCAATAGGAATTGTAATTTAGAAACCTAGAATGTGACGGCAGATAAGAACCATTCTGCCAAATTTTCTAAAGACTTTCATTAGTCCCTGATCTTATAGTTAGGATAGCCTTATGCCTATCCCACGCATGCCTAAACTCCTTTACTGTGTTATTTATCTAATTTATTTTTTATAAATGAACATTGTTCACCCCCTGGTCTGCATAATAGATCCTGCTACTTGCTGGTTTGTTCAGCTCAGTGTAGCTAAAAACAAGATTGGACAGCCATAGAAAGTCTGGGCAGGGAGATAAGAGGTGCGCTTGCAAAGGCTTGATGCAAGAGATTTGCATGGTTTTAGATACATTTCCAATGAAACATGCATAATTAAAAGCATGCATGTTTTCATTGGGAATATATCTACTAAACAGTAACTCTCTTTTTAGGACAGTGTAGTGTCCTTTTTAACTCACAAATGGCAGAAGCTTGAGCAGTGAGCCTGCAGGGGCGTGGTCTAGTCACTAAAACAACTTAATTGAACAGTTTGTTTCAGTGCTTAGAGCATCCCTTTAAAGTTGTTTGAATGTGAAACCATATTCATTATGTCACGTTTAACAATCTGTACATTACTAATTTTAACTTTTCTTCCTGCAGAAGAACATTGTGCACAGAGACCTGAAACTTGGTAACATGGTTCTCAATAAGAGGTAAGGGTGTATCTTTCTGCATTGTCATGCTACATATTTAATGTGTAGGTGATATCTAAGGCGCAAAATTACAAATACTCCCCCTCCCCCACAATTATTCCATGATGTCTTGCTGACAATGTTTCAGACTTCACCTTGCATTTCTGCAGGTACTCTTGTCAATGGCACGCTGTTTTGAACACCATTTATTTTTACATTGAAGGGTGGGAGAGTTGTAGAAACATTTTATTGTCCTGATTTTTAACTACATAAGTGTGTGGGTCTTCTCTTCCTGTGACTGTTGTGGTATTTGCTTTCACCACAACGTTGTCTATACACAACACTCCAAATCATTCACTTTGCCAAGTCACTCCAGTTGACTTGGAATTCTGTTTTGCAAGGCACCATTTTGTCTCTTCCAGTCTTAATCCTTCATTACTTTGAACAGTTGTTTGTCTAACTGCTTACCTAGACCTAGCAAATTTGTATCTTCATATTTCGGAATAATAGCGTGTGGCTAATGTGATACATAAGTTTACATTAGAGTTAAACAAAATCACAGGGAAATGTCAATCTTGTGTCTTTACTTTTAGGACCCATAGAATAACAATCACCAATTTCTGCCTTGGGAAACACTTAGTGAGTGAAGATGACCTATTAAAAGATCAGCGAGGAAGTCCAGCATATATCAGCCCAGATGTGCTCAGTGGTGAGTCACTTTGTTACACAGGTGCAAAAACCTAAACTTAAAGTCTGCTAGAGCAGCCACACTCTCAACACAGGAACTCGTTGCTTTATAGAAATACAAATACACTGAGATTATGGATATCAGGCATTAAGTCTGTAACTTGATCTTTGACTAGTTGAAGTTATAAACCTGTAAACCACACCGTATGAATGTGCATAAACTTGGTAGCCCCTTGTCCTCACATGGTTTTGGTTCTTGCTGTTTTGCAATGGCACATGTCAGCTAAAATTTGTTTTGAGATCTCAGTGGTGGCAAACAAAAGTGTATTTTCCAGATTTATTTTTAAAATGGTCTTCTCCATGTGTTAGAGGTTATGGAAAAGTTAATTCTGCTTCTTTAGTACACTTGATTATCACTATGGGACGGTATACTGAAGATGAAAATTATTGGTGTAATTGGGACATTTAATTTTCTTGGGTTAGACTGGCTGTATTTCTGCATTTTTAGTTGTTTCCCTATTGCTAATTTTAATTATATTTATGACCTGTATTTATATTTAGCTTGCCTATGGAACACAGTATCTTTGCATCGTTCCTATAGGTGCAATCTGTAAGAACTATCCTAGTTTAATTATCCTACTCTCTTCTGTTCCTTCAGGTCGACCATACAGAGGAAAGCCAAGTGATATGTGGGCGCTGGGTGTAGTTCTTTTCACCATGCTGTATGGGCAGTTTCCCTTCTATGACAGCATTCCTCAGGAACTTTTCCGTAAAATAAAGGCTGCAGAGTACTCCATCCCTGAGTAAGTGAGCTATTCTTGCTCGAAAATGTGTAGTAATATATTCTGATCTGGGTCAATAAGTTTAATCATTCTGCGCTTTAAGATGAAAGACTGTTATAATCTGCTTACACTTTTATTAAAAAGTGCATACAGTTAGAGCATTGTCCATAGAAAGAGCACACTTGGTGCATGAAGAGCATATTTACCATTAATGTCTATTGGTTGCCTTTGTGGAAATAAACTTTGACTTCATGCTAACCACATTTCCAGCCATTGCATCGTTTAAAATGCAGCAATTTGATGTTGCAGATTTACTGCTTTAGTATCCACTTGAACAGACTCATATTGGTACAGAACTATCCCAAACAAAGGGTTTGTCGGACAGATTTTTTTTTTTTTTTTAAACTTTGTTTGTTTACCTGGTTTATTTAAATTATTCACTGCTAAAGTGTCTTCCCTTGTTAGGGATGGAAGAGTGTCTGAAAACACCGTATGTCTTATACGTAAACTATTGGTCCTTGACCCTCAGCAGCGCCTGACTGCATCTGAAGTCCTAGAGTCTCTTGGTGGCATAATCTCTTCCTGGTAAGTCAGTTCACCTTACCCTATAATCGGTATTAACCAGCAATCCTAAGGTTATTATATTGATACTAGACTTCTTATAGTAAATTGCCCTTTTAAAACACATTGCATCAAGTATGGCATTCATAAACCATGCAACAAAGATGTTCATACTTCCCTCCCTCCCCCCCCTATATTCTTGCGTGTCTCTCACTTCCTCAAGATCATCCTTTTAATTTTTGTTTGATCCATAGGCAATCTATGTCCTCACTTAGTGGTCCACTACAAGTTGTTCCTGATATTGATCATGTGACAAGCCCTGAGAGCTCTCAAGAGGTAAATTGATATGGGGCGGAGGAATCTGTATCCATTCCCTACCAAAGTTAACTTATTTGTAAACCTGGTTGTTGCCTTTTTTCAACCTTAAATATGACAGATCAAACTGTCATGCATATTTTATGAAGTTTTAATTCTAGGTAAATTCTTACATGGTTTCTTACTAAAGTGAAAATTTAAGTGTATGCAAACTGAATGCATGGCTGACATAGAACTATTTCAGCTGGGCTATTTTGACATTCCATTTAAAATGCACTTTGAATTCTCACTTTAGTCAAAAATGTTGTAATTTAAACCTATTTAGTTGATTTTAGAGGTCTGCCACGTAACAGAAAAATTGGCAAGTCTTTTGGTTTCTTTAAAAAAAAATTCCATTTGAAAAAAAAATTGGAATGTCTTTTTTTTTATTTTTATTTTTTTTTGTGGAGGGATGAGCTCTAACCGTTAAAAGGATGCTCTACGCACCAAAAAAACTTTAACTTGATGTGAATTTGGTGCATATAATGTCCCTGCAGCCTCACTGCTCAGTTCTTTGGCATTTTAATAGATTTCAGTTTATGCAGCTCGTCACACATCCATGCATGTGACTTGCACAGCCTTCCTGTAAAGAGGCATCTAATGCTTACACTGCCTTTATTGCAAATTGTTTCATTTAGATCAGAACTCCTGCTCTGTTAATAGCTTGATAGACCTTACAGACAATGACTTTTTTTTTTTTTTTTTTTCATGCTGGCTGTGACTCACAGCAAGGAGAGATGTGACTAGGGCTGCATAGACACAGCTTTTACTCCTAAATGGCTTTAGTATTAAGTAGTGAGACTGCAGGGGTATGATCTCTAAACAAAAACAGCTTCATTAAGTTGATATTTTGGTGGCTATAGTAAGACACTCCAGCAATATAAAATATTTAATTCAGAAGTTTTGTTGGTTCCTGTGTGCCCCTGAAATAGTACTCTGGCCAATGCAGTGTTCTCATTGTGTGGCAGGGCGCATATCCCTGAAAATGCTTCTCATCCAGATGCTTTGGATTCAAATGTCTCTATGGGATGCATTGCCTTCTACCTTGTACTCTGGCACAAAACAATTAGGAACAGTTTACTCATGGTTGTTAGAACCCATTTGAAGAGCATATGGCACTCTAAGATACATTTATTTTAAATAAATGTATTAAGAGTGCCAAGTTGCACCCTGCTGGCTATGTTGCTTCAAGCAGATCCCTACCCTCCTTAGAGGAGATGGTTTAGGAGTTGAAGATTTGTCTACATGTGGACCAATTTTTCACTACTGGGACTTTGGGCAGTACCTAAAATGGCTTGATCAGTACCATCAATTTTGCAGTTCTAAGTTAAAATGTATCTGCCATAAGAGTATTAAAATCTATATAATTTGTGCTGGTGTGGGATCATATTTTAAAATAAAATCTGTTCTTGGAATAGACTAGAGAATTTCAGCAGGACCTCCCACACACAGGCAGTTTTAACGGTTTAATTTACCAACAAACTTTGTCACTACTAATGAAGCCCGCATGTTAAGGTCATGGAGAAATACTATAGGAGTTGGAGAAACTTGGGAGCAGACAAAGCATTTATTAAGCTCTAGAAACATGCCTTTTGTTAGCCAAACTGGCCCCTGCAGCAGCTGATCTCCCTTGTTAGGCTCTTAATTCTCTGTTAGTGCTGTACAGTGCCCATTCAAAAGCTTATTGTGCCAGTCTAGAGTTCAAAGCTTCTCATAGGAATGGGGATATATAGATCACCCCCCTCCCTCTTTGACACAGGCATGCTAACTGAAGATGGCACATCTTATACTTTATGGAATGTTACCATTCTTTTCGTAATCCTTCTAATATTCTTTCAATACTTGGTTAATCCCTTAAAGATGGAGGCAATTGTCTAGGTACTGATCCAAAACACCTAGAATTTGAGCGATGTCCAACAATAAACCTTTCATACGAAGTGAAACCACCCTTATATATACTATTGTTTAGGAGAAATAAGGCTTTCATCTCACATCAAATATTAAACCTATTTTAATATAAAATCTAAAAATGTGAGACCTAATATGGCTTGAAACAGAACTTGGAAAACACAAACTGAATTTCAGAATACTGTTGGCTTTTACTGCAGTAAAAAAAATCACTGTATACTGTGATGTCCTAGTACATTGCACAGGTTTTGGAGCATTAGACTCAAATATAGGGCTTGCAAATTGTTTTTTTTTTTTTCTGCTGGGCTGTTATGAATTTGTCTTACAAACATATTGGGTCACTTGACCACCACAATTCCCTTTGCAGCTTTAACAGCTTCCACTCTTCTGGAAAGCTTTCCACAAGAACTTGGTGTTTCAATGGGAATCTTGCCAATTCGTTCAGTAGAGCATTTGAGGGGTCAGGCACTGATGTTGTACAAGAAGGTATGGCTCACAGTCTCCGTTCCAGTTCAACCCAAAAGTGTACAGTGGGGTTGAGGTTTGAGCTCTGTGTGAGCCAGTCAAGTTCTTTAACACAATACTCCTCCAACCATGTATTTATGGGACCTAGTTTGGGCAGTGGGGCACTGTCATGCTGGAATAGAAAAGGACCTTCCCCAAACTGTTCCAATGTTTACGGCTACTGAAGCATTAAGATTTCCTTTAACTGGAAGGAAGCTTAGTCCAATACCATTTATCCCTCGTCAAACTTTGCAATTGGCACAATTTAGGCAGGCAACATTGTCATGGCATCTGCTAAACCTAGACTCTCTATCAGAGTACCAAAAACACCAGTGTAATTTGTACCTTCACAGAAAACTTTTCCACTGTTCCAGAGTCCAGTGTCGGCATGATTTACACCACTCTATCCAATGCATTCTACTTGATGTGAGGCTTGTAGGCAGCTACCCTGCCATGGGAACACATTTAATGAAGCTCCTGACGTACAGTTTTTGCTAATATTAATGCCAGTGGAAGGTTAGAAGAATTTCGCTATGGAATCAGCATAGCATTGACAACTTTTACGCACTATGCACCTCAGTACTTGGGGAGTCGGTTCTGACTCGAAGTCATCTTCCGGTACATGGCTGAATTGCTGCTGTTCCTAGACTATTCTACTTTCCAAAAGTACCACTTACAGTTGTCCGGGGAATATCTAGCAGCGATGTAATTTCGAAAACTGACTTATTGCAAAGGTGGCATCCTATCTCAGTGCCACACTTAAACTTCTTCAGAGCAACTTTTTTTTTTTTTTGCACAATTCTGTGAGGGTTTCTACATTCCATATATTGTTTGGGAATCTATAGAGAAATTACTGCACACTTGAGTGTTTCTTCTAAAATGTATGAATGTCTAACACTGTGTGGGTTAAAATAACATGGTTAGGGTGTACATGGTAGCAAATCAGTGTAAATGTAAAGGCTTAACTTCAGCTAGTATGTGTGACATTACTGTTTTATAATCTCTTGAATGGTTTACTGTTTTACAGGCAAAAGTAACAGAAGAGTCCTCCCAGTATGAGTTTGAAAACTACATGCGACAGCAGCTCCTACTGGCGGAAGAGAAAAATACAATCCATGAAGCCAAAAACTTCCCCCAGAAAGGTCACTTTGGAAATTTCCCCCCCATTAGAAGATTGGGGTATGATGCTCAGCCAATGAGCCCTTTGGACGCTGCCATCCTTGCACAGCGATATCTTACCCCGTCACACATGACTATTCCTAATCCCCACTAAAACATGGTTTCCAAATGTTTCATCTAGATCTGGAAAGTTAGTTTGGGGGAATCTTTCAAAGCTGAAAGGCTTATATGGTGCTATATTTCTTCTCCCCCAGCTTGCTGTTCCTACTTGAGTTTCATTGCACAGAATGCATCTTGGCCCTTCTCCCAAATTTAACTTTTTTATTTTTTTGTCCTAAAGCAATACTGTTCTAGCACAAGATAAATTATGTAGCATCTCTAGAATAGACTCCAGTCTGTACTCATAACCTTTCACTCCCTTCATTCTTTTGATATTCTGGACTGTTCTTGGACACCCAATGCTGGACTACATAGTTTGTGTTTTTTTTATTTTATATATTTTTATTTTTTTTTAAAGACCTCAAGATGCAGAAGTCTCTAGCTTTGTGGTGTCCTAATCTAAACTGCTCTCCCCCTTGCTTTTCCCAGCCTTTTATTTTCCCTTCTGCAACTTGCTTGATACAGACATTAAATCTACCTCTTTTATTTTTTTTTATTTTTTTTTAGCAGTGCGTTCCATAGTTTCAACATACAGCATTAGAAGGATTTTGCTGTGGGAAAATTGTAAATTTTATTTGCTATAATCTGTTTTATGCCCCCTCTTTCTAACCAACTGGGTGGCACAACATAGTGTGTACATATATAAATATATATATATCCTTATATAGAGATATATATTTGATATTGAATATCCGCTGGGTTGCAATATTCAGAATAAGCTGTGTTATAAACAATCAGGCTTATAACATCCCATATACTCTGACATTTTGGTCTATATGACCGTGACTATGTATTTATTATTGGAAATCAATTGGGGGAGGGCTAGTGGGTCTTTTTTAATGTCCCTAAACAAAGCACAGAAGGGATGAGCTCCATTTTTGTCAACTACTTGATAGCCCTGGATTAGCAGATGTATTGGATAACGTTTGTGTTTTATGAATTGGGCTGTTGGCAAAGTCACTCTAGCTAGCTCAGGGCTTCTTGTATATTGGCCTGTGATTTTTTTTTTTTTGCTTTTAAACTAACTTCTTAGCAACGTGACGACTTATTCAGCATGCATGTTTGTAGTGCATTTGTCCTGGTTTTATAATTTTTTTTTTTTTTTTATCCCTTACACTTGAAGTTTAGGGTTCTCTGCAGTCCATACATGCAAGCGATAAAACAATTGTAGTTATGATACTCTAATGCCTAATATACATTATTGTATATGCTTTTTGGCTAGCTCTGTAGTCTTTGACAGTAGGTAAGCCAACAATATCCCTGTGGGGTTTTTTTTTTTTTGGAATGGTCACCAATAATTTTATACACCTTACTGTTTATGGAGATGCACTCTTGCCCTGCCTCACTTTGCATGCCAGCACATTCAGGATCAAGAGCACTTCATTGGCATTACACTTCACCTGAACAAAGATTAATGCAGGGAGAAGCAAAGCTATCAACACACCTCTCTTACAATATTGATATCAGGAAACGGTCTCTTGGCACAATTGATTGCAAATTAAACTGCTCCCACTGTAGCATCTGCCGTGCACCTTAACCAGTTGCAGCAAGTGGCTTATGGATATCCAGATCATGGAGTACTCTTAAGTGTACACCTTCAGATGGGTAGATTTACGCAGTCATAAACTAGGAGGGACTTCATAAAAAAGCCATTCACTGCGTATTAAAAGCAGAATTTTCATTTATTTTTTTTCTCCTCCTGGTCTGGGATGTTGCCTACTGGTAAATGGATAACTTTACTCAAACATAAGCATTAATTCCCTATAGCAGTCTCCAACACTGAGCCATATTTTGATGCCATATTCTTGCCACATAATTTTTTTTTTTTTTTTTTTAAAAACCTCAAACTGCTCTCCCCTAAACCTTTAAGCTGTATTAGTCACACTAGCATTCAACCTACACACTTTTCTGGTGCAAGCTTCTGTATAATTTTGGTTTTAATTATTTTACCTTAAATGTGTAGGTTTGTTTATCATTGTGTTGCTCTTTTTTAAAATTTGTCTGACATTTCATAGGCATTTCAACGTAAAGGATTTATATTTTTCCAAACAATCTGGATTCAAAAACCAGAAGCACACTGACCACTGGTGTTTTTAAGTTGTAGAATTTAGACAAAAAATGTACGTGCGTGAGTTTTTTTTATTTTAATTTTTTTTTAATTTTTGTCTTGTAGATCCTACAATCCAGCACTAAATAGTACTTGGTAAATAGTTGTAGCTTATTGCTTGGACACCTGGCCAATACAGAAGGGCTTCCCCCAGAGTTTTTATCAAAAAGGTTTCAGCTACTAAGTATTCAGTGTAAGGATGGGTTATGTTATGGGCCAAAATTGTCATGTTTACACTTGTCATTAATATGGAAAGTAAAGCATGTGACCTTCTCCAGACAGTGATACTTATGTATATATTCAAATGCCCCAAAGATCCAAACCTGGATTGTATCACTGTAGGTATGGGTGCCAGAACCGTTAAATTACTTTTATGCAGAACTATCCTGTTTACAGATCTTCCTTGCTGGCTCAGTACTTTGGTAAACCAATGGTGTTCGGTCGTCACTGGTGAACTAGGGCAGAATTTGGTCCATAGACAAACATTTATGGATGACAAGCTAGCTTACGTGGGCGGACTAGCAAAACTCTGTACTAAATGCCTCAAGTAAAATACCCAGTGGTTTTGGGTCTGGCTTTGAATGCCTGCATAAATCAGTGCCTTTTTGTTTTCACAACTCCTATTCAGAACCTTCACATGGATTGACCACCTGCATTGGGGCCTATTTTCTTTTAATCAAATTAGACAATCCACAGCAGCTCAGACCTAAATGAGAACCGTAGATATGACCCAACAAATGTTGATTCCAATTAGTTATCTCTAGTGTACGGTGCGCAAACTGTGGCCTACATTTTGCTAGCCAATTTGACATAATCTGCAGCTCCATTGTCCAGTCGCAATTCACTGTTTACTGAAAACACTTGTAGTACAAAATTTGGTGTGCGTGTGTTTTTTTGTTTTGTATTTAGTAAGCTATTGTACACAGATATATTGAGTAATAACTACTCTATGGTGTGAAATTGCATGGGAATGCTTGTTCACACAGTGAATAGCAGCCAGCCAGCTGTGAAACTCTTTAAAACCTTTTTATCCCAAGCATACCTTCTACATATGTGTAAAAATACATTACTTTTCCATATCTGCATAGTAATATATTTATAAATGGCATTTCAAAAGCAATAAGCTTCCAAAGATTTGATAAATCTAATTCTTTTGAAATTCTTAACTATATGAAAGTTACAACTGACAGTTAATACAAATAGCTGGCACAGTAGCCTTTGCATAGTGGGCATTTATATTGCATCTTTAATGTAAATCCAGAGTTGGCCATTGGGGAGACTACACATCTGCATCAGATGAATTTGTAATTCAGTTTTGAGTCTCTGATGGATTTGAGCTTGCTAATGTGCAATGCCTGGAAATGAAACCCTATAAGATTCTGGGACTGGAATTGTAATGTTTGTGGGTTGTTTCATTTTTACAAAATTTTCTTTTTTATAATTCTGTTCAATGAAGTTGAAAAGCATTATTCCCTCAGTGAAAGCATTGTGTGAATTTAGAGTTGAAGAAATATTATTCTTCCTTCATTGCCACAGACCTGGTGGCTAAATATTACCGAAGTGGGTTGTTTTTAATCTGTGGATATGTCTAAAAATGTCTTTATTTTAATTAATAAAAAGCATTTTTAATCTTCCTTTGCAGATAAGATTTGTTTTCTTATTTTTTTTTTTTTTGTGTGAAATCATGATGGAAAAAACGCAAAGGTGTTACCAAATAGCAGCCATATGCAATATAAACATCGCTGCGTGGAGTCTGTCATGCAATATAGAGGGCGTATAAGGGGAAGTGCTGGAATGCATCAGAGGGCATGTACAAAAGTGGACCCCAAATAGCAGGGTGGGAATATATACCTAGAAGAGAACCTACTTCATGACAACTGTGGAAAGAGTTTGCATTTCATTCCCTTGATTCTTTTTCAATGCAAACAAATGGGGGGGGCAGGAGAGTAAACTGCCTAAAACATCTTGAAGTAGAAGCTTATTGCCATACCTAGTCAGGTGAGGTTTGCATAGTAAAAGTACAAGAGCCCCAACTTGGAAAGTGGTTTCTGGGGGGCAGAAAAGTGGAGGGGGCACTATAGGTTCCTATAGTGGCAGAAAACCAAAGTGTCTCAAAGGTTTGGATTACTTTTATTTGGTAAGTTGGGTATTCAGAAATCGCTTGTTACGGTATAGCATACAACATTCTAAAGACTTCAAAGAAAAAGTCTAGTTTAAAGGACCACTATAGTGCCAGTAAAACATACTCTTTTTCCTGGCACTATAGTGCCCTGAGGGTGCCCCCACCCTCAGGGTCCCCCTCCTGCCCGGCTCTGGAAGGGGAAAGGGGTAAAAACCTTACTTTTTTCCAGTGCTGGGCGGAGAGCTCTCCTCCTCCTGGGCTGAATGCGCACGCGCGGCAAGAGCTGCGCACGTATTCAGCCGGTCACATAGGAAAGCATTTACAATGCTTTCCTATGGACGCTGGCGTGCTCTCACTGTAAAAATCAGTGAGAAGCACGCAAGCGCCTCTAGTGGCTGTCAATGAGACAGCCACTAGAGGCTTTGGGGGAAGGCTTAACCCATTAATAAACATAGCAGTTTCTCTGAAACTGCTGTTTATTAAAAAAAAAAAATGGGTTAACCCTAGCTGGACCTGGCACCCAGACCACTTCATTAAGCTGAAGTGGTCTGGGTGCCTAGAGTGGTCCTTTCTGGAACTGAAACACCGTATGCATGGACCATTGTAATTTACTTTACTACTACATTAATACCATAATGCAAAAAGGCAACCAAATTGAAAGGAAAATCCTATGGGTTAGTATTGATTTTATTTATATATAGCTGTGTAATTTTTTTTTTTTAAATTTTCTTTCTTTGTACAACTGTCCACTGGAGGGCATCAGTTATCTGGGAAAAAAATCATTCTGTAGTACTTATTCTACAGTATAATACAGTTCCCAAACTTTAGGTTCAAGGCACCCTTAATATTTCTGTATGTGTATGACTTTTTTTTTTTTTTTGGCACCTCAAGTCTAGGTTTTATCGGTACAGTGCTATGGCACGTGTTGGTGTTTGAAGGAGTGCTTGTATATACTTTAACACAGGGGTGTGTTTGTATGTAATGTTTGACTGCAGGGGTGTGTCTGACTGTAATTTTTTTTTTATGCAGATGTAAATTTGTGTGAAGTATGTTTGAGTGAACGTGTTTTTTATATAAATTGTGTGTGTTTTTGTTTGTTTTTTGTTTTGTTTTTTTGGTGAAGGCTGTCCCTTCCCTCCAGCCAACCTTAAAAGACCCTGGCACCCGTCCGGCCCCTCTCAGCAGTTGTTTATATTGATAGCACCGGGGAAACATTCCGCGGCACCCATGTGTGTATCTCAGTGCTGCAGCACACAGTTTAGGAACCGCTGGTGTATAGTATAATCCTGTGTAATAATGTACTGCATATTTTGTTATATTTTTTTTACTTTTTAATAAAATATATTTGAGAAGAAAAATCTGGTTTGAAGTCTGGTTTGACTTATAGATTTAGAAAGTGTACTGGAAATGTGTAAGAATACAGGTAAACAAGCACATTTTTTTTTCTCTTCATGGTATTACTTCAGTTTGCTTGTATCAGCAAGTAGGCAATTTTGAATGAATACATTTTTGCTAGGTTTTCAGCTTGCATATTTCTCCTTTATTGCAGAAGCACATACTGTGTAATTTTAGTATTGTAAAAATTAAGAATTTTTTTTTTTTTTTGGCTATTCATGCTGCCCTTGACTTTTTAAAAAAACTTCTGTATTGACACAGCAGCAATTTTCACACCGTGTGCAACTTGGCGTTTTTTTATTTTTAATGCATCTTATCTCACTCAAATAAAATTTGAACACAAACATGGAGACAGAGGCAAAGGACACCCCATAACATGAATTGGGGGACAGGCAGGGGCATGGGCTTCTTTAGAGGCATAGGCAATCCTGTAGTCCCATGCCTTTACACAGAAGCATATTCATGTCTGTGTTTTGTTCTCAAAATACAACTTGTGCAGGGTGCGTGATTTGCTGCCACGAAATAGTGGTTTTAAAAGTCACAAAAGGCAGAACTTTTCAAATCCTGCACACAATGGAAATCACAGACCCATCTACAATTTTAACTAGGAAACTTTGGATTGATGTGGTGTTGGGTATACAGGTAGCAAGTGTAAGCATTGGTTAAGGGGTATGGTTGGTATAGTGAGGGTCAGCTTTAACTAAATATGCATTTAGATTCTAGACTTATTAAGCATTTAATCAGGACTGATATATGCATCTTTATTTTGTTTTTTATTTAGTTGCAGATGTGTAAAATTAACAGCTGAAATATCAAAACTGAAGGAACACTATTGTCTGGAACCCAAACTAGGGATCGACTGTGAATCAGTCTGGCCGATATTCGGTATTTTCAGTAATATTGGTATCTGCCTATAGATAATGATATTGCTGATTCATACCAGGACAGCCAGGCCCATGACAAGTCCGCCGGTCCTAGAAGACCCGCAACAAGCTCTTACCTAACCATCAGCTCCCCTGTCTAACTCTTGCGAGTTCCTGGGGCATTCACCGCTGGCTGAGATTTAGACAGGGGAGCTGCTGGGAAGGTAAGCTTGCTACGGGCTCCCACTGCACAGTCCATGCCACAGGACCACCAGGGAATGCCATATCCTCCCTGGCCAAGTAAGAATCAGGGAGGGGGGCTAAAAAAATTAAATATTTAAAATAAAAATAACCCCCCATATTTTACACACTACATACCTACACAAATGCACACTCTGCATTCTATAAACCCACTACATACTACATTCATTATATACACACTGCATTCACTATAAAAAATACTCTATCTGCATCCACCACACACGTTCTTGAAAACAAATTCTGACTGGCATGTATGTTTTGTGCATTTAACTCAATAAAAAAAACCTGTTCAGTTGACAGATTTGTGTAGAATTTTATTTTTTTAATGGTAAATGTACAGAATATCAGTAAGCCATCAGCATGAAAGTTCAGATTGACCTATAATTTTTTTTAGCCAATACTGATAATACCCTAACCCAAACATATATTCTTGAACCTATAATGTTAAAACCACCATTTAGGTGGCTTGCCCCTTAAGAGTGAAGACTTGCATTATTTCCATCACTGCATGGGTCTGTCGGTGCAGGCCCAGTTTCTGATCAGCGTTCTTGGCTGACATCAGAATTGATCTCAGTCAGTCCAATGCATTCTCATAGAAAAAGCACTAGATGGACTGAGATAGTAAAGGGGGCAGTGCAGCGCAAGGAGATATTGAACGTCAGTGCTGCACTGCCCCCAGGAAGCACCTCTGGTGGCCTTTTGTGTGATTGCAACTGGAGGTGTCCCTAGGGAGCAATGTAAAGACTACCTTTTCTCTGCAGCGACTTGCTCTGTTGCCATGGCTGAGATCTCTTGATGATCCAAGCCAATCCTATGCCTTATAGTAAAGATTTGCGTGGATATTGTGCATGCATAGCAAAACTCCAAGCTAAGCTTTGCCCATCATCTCCTCATAGAAATTCATTGAATTGGTTCATCACTATGGGAAACTTTCAGTGTCTCCATTCTGAATGTAGTTGTACTGGACTAGACTGCACCACTAGTAGCAATCTGAATGAGTGCCACGAGAAGTGTTACTAGGCAACAATGAATACACTGCCTTTTCTCTGAGGGACTGTCCCTGCTAAGACTGTAGGGACATGCTTTAGACACCAGAACCACTCCATTAAGCTGTAGTGATTCTGGTGACTATAGTAACCCTTTAAAGGATCACTATAGTGTCAGGAAAACAAAGCGGTTTTCCTGACACTATAGTGCCCTTTAAAACCCCCTTCAGCAACTTTCCTTAATTCAGCGCATGGCACTATATGCGCGTATATTTAAACAGTCCATAGGAAAGCATTTCTTAATGCTTTCCTATGGATGCGGCTGTCAGGAAGACATACTTGAGGTTGGCTTAACCCCTAATGTAAACATAGCAGTTTCTCTGAAACTGTTTACATCTGAAGGGTTAAAACCTGAGGGACCTGGCACCCAGACCACTTTATTGAGCTGAAGTGGTCTGGGTGACTATAATGTCCCTTTAATGCGTTCTTCTATCAAGCCTACTGGCTAGGGAATATTCATTAATCAAATTAATGATAGATCCCCTGCAACTCCTGATCACTCAGATTAGTAAAAAATCAGCCATAATCCAGCAAGAGAACATAATGCTGACAGGAACAGTGTGAAGTCTCCCTTCCTTTCCTGGTTCTTGGCTAATCACTGCAGCATTTAATTAATGGGTGATATACAGGCAGTAAATAATCACAATGAGGTACATACCAAACAATCTAATTCGGTATGAGAAGCAAAATTGAAAACAGTCCAAATACAGAACAAATGACTGAGGAGACATTCACCTGCTAGTGACAAACCTCTTTTAGGGAAGATCAAGTAGGAGTTAGAAAACCAGGAGTTAAAACTAACAAGGGGTTTAAACTAACAAGGCAATTGTTTTTATTTACTGTTTAAAGGGGAAATGAGTGTTAGCAAGATTGCTGGTTTAACTCAATGCACATCTTGTTGCATGTATGGCTGCCTGGATGTACCCGTCCAGGGTCCATACCTCTGTGATGGTTGTGTGCGAGTGGCTTCTCTGGAAGCTCAGATTGGAGATCTCGAGAAGCAAATCGCAACATTGAGGGAGATTGACAATCTTGAGAGGAGTCTACTGCTCACTGAGCAGAGTTTAGTGGGGACAGGTAGTGGAGAGGGAGGAGATAAGACAGATGGGGAACAGGCATGTAGCTGGGTGACAGTGGGGCGAGGAAGCAGGGGGGGAGGGAAGAGGAAAGGGCTAGCTAGTCCTGATTTGTGCAACCTAGCAGATTTGCCCGCTTGAGGGAAGATGTTGGGAGCATCAGCTCAGGAGTAGCTGTATTAGAGGAAGCTGTTACTTCTAACAGCCGAGCTAACAGCCCCCCTAGTACGTGTGGGGATCAAAATGTAAGGAAGGCAAGACAGGTTGTGGTGGTAGGGGACTCTATCATTAGGAGAGCAGATAGGGCAATCTGCCGCTCTGATCAGCTCAACCGGACAGTTTGCTGTCTCCCGGGTGCTCGGGTCCGGCATGTTGCTGACAGAGTGGATGGATTATTGGGAGGGGCTAGGGATGACCCAGCGGTCATGGTCCATGTTGGTACCAATGACAAAGTAAGAGGAAGATGGAAGGTCCTAAAGAATGATTTCAGGGAATTAGGTAGCAAACTTAAGAAAAGGACCTCCAAGGTGGTATTCTCTGAGATATTACCTGTGCCACGCGCTACAGTGGAAAGGCAGCGGGAGATTAGAGAGGTCAATGCAAGGAGGGTTTTGGGTTTTCAGAGCACTGGGCCGACTTTGCGATTGGGTACAACCTTTATAGTGGTGATGGATTGCACCTAAACGGGAGAGGGTCTGCAGTGCTGGGGGATAGGATGGCTAGAAGGTTGGAGATTTTAAACTAGTAGTAGGGGGGGAGGGTCATAGCAATCTACAAAATGGAGATAGGACAGAAAGGAGATGGGCTTTAGCACAGTACAAGGGGGGTGGAAACGGGGGGAGGGGCAAGCTCAGAACAGAGAAGCTGTGTAATGTTGAAAATTCACAAAATATACAAGTGATGCATAATATTAAATGTATGCTTACTAATGCAAGGAGCCTAAATAACAAAATGGGGGAACTAGAGGCATTAGCATACACTAAACAATATGATATAATAGGCATAACTGAAACATGGTGGGATGAGACACATGACTGGGCAGCTAACTTAAATGGGTACACGTTATTTAGGAAGGATAGGAAAAACAAGAAGGGTGGTGGGGTATGTTTGTATGTCAAACATGATTTAAAGCCAAATGTTAAGCAAATGGAATGCGAGGAGGATAATGTGGAAGCTTTATGGGTAAATATCTGCTTGGGGAAAAGAAGGGAAACCAACTATTGGTTGGGATATGTTATAAACCACCTAATGTTAATATTGACGAGGAACAACAGCTGTTTGAGCAAATTGAGAAAGCTGCAAATCTGGGTAACACTTTAATTATTGGAGATTTTAATTACCCGGATATAAATTGGGACAGAGGGACTAGTGCCTCAGCAAAGGAAATTAGGTTTTTAAACTTGTTAAATGACACCTTCATGTCACAACTTGTGCAAGCACCAACTAGAATGGATGCTTGTCTGGACCTGGTTTTAACAAACAACGTTGATCTTTTGACCAACATTCAAGTAGGTGAGCACTTGGGAAATAGTGATCACAATATAGTGTCCTTTGAAATAAACTCAAAAAAAAAGCACATGGGGAATACTAAAACATATAATTTTAAAAAGGCCAATTTCAATAAGTTAAGGGAAGCTTTACAATATATTGACTGGCATAAACTCTTTAGTGAAAAGAACAATGAGGATAAATGGATCATCTTCCAACAAATATTAGAAAGGTATATTTCTCAGTATGTACCATTGGGAAATAAATATAAAAGAAACAAATTAAAACCAACATGGCTTAGTAGAGAAGTAAAACAAGAGATTACAACTAAGAGAAAGGCATTTAAAGCATTTAAATCGGACAAATCAGATGCATCTTATAAAAGATATAAGGATGCAAATAATGCGTACAAAAAGGCAATTAGACTTGCTAAACTTCAAAATGAAATAATGATAGCTGAAGAGAGCAAAACCAACCCCAAAGCATTTTTTAAGTACATAAATTCTAAAAAACAAACAAAATGAAAGTGTGGGTACACTAAAAACTGAAATGGGGGTGTTAGTTAATGAAGACCAGGAAAAGGCAGGAATTTTAAATAACTATTTCTCCTCCGTATATATTAAGGAAGAACCCATGGCAATAGATGTGCAAATGATTGCTACTAAAAACTTGCAGAATAATTGTAATTGGTTAACTGAAGACAAGGTGCTGCAGCAACTAAAGAAAGTTAATATAAACAAAGCTCCAGGGCCTGACGGTATCCATCCACGTGTACTTAAGGAACTAAGTGCAGAAATAAGTGAACCACTGTTTTTAATCTTT